GAGACGAAGTGAAGGGGGTCTATGGGGGAAGGAAGGGCGTGGCTCCCTGGGAACTCAGCCATTGGGTTCGTCACGTGGGCGGTAAGCAGACCCAGGATCCCGCGCGCTTTCGCAGACATCTGTGAGCACCTGGTTCTGCTTTTCCGTAGGCACCTGAGCTCCTGAAATTCGTGGCGTTGTCCTGAGTAGCGTCGCGAAGCCCTCCCAGTGGCGGCAGTTCCTAAGCCTTCTCGGCCGACGTGCCCGTGGCCAGTGGGTGATAAGCTGCCGCAGAGTCCGTGGGGCACCCGGTGCAGCAGCGCAGAGTTTCTGGCTCTTTGCGTCGGCGGCGGTGCCCCGAAGAGTTGCGGCAAGCTGCCGCCTCGAGCCTTTCTTCTTCGCATCTTCTGCTGCAGCAGCGCACGGGTCGGGATCCCTCAACATCTGCAGGGCGTTGCCCGCTCCGGCCGTTCAAAAGCCTTTTGTGCCATCCTTCTCGTGGCCAGTGGGTGACAAGCTGCCGCAGAGCTTGCGGTGCGCCTGGCGCTGTGGCGGCGCAGCGACTCGGGCTCTCGGCGTCGCCAACGGCGCTCCGAACAGTTGCGCAGCCTTGCCTGGGCAAGCTGCTCTTGGGCCGTGGGACGCGCGCCGCCGCAGAGTCTGCGGGCATCCCCTGCGGCAGCGCGTAATGGGTCTGGGCTCTTCGCCCGAGCGTGTGCTGCTGCCCCGGCAGTCTAATAGCCCTCTGGTCTTCATTCGTGGCCCGAGGGTCACAAGCTGCCGCATACCAGTCGGAGTGCGGAAGCAGAGCTGCGGCGGTCTGTCGCCGTTGCTTTTGTGATCGTCCTCGACAGGCCTGCGCCGTTCCACCGACCCCCGAGCTGATAGATTCGCGAGGTTGACCTGGGAGGTTAAGGGGACGAGGAGAGGGGAGGGGGAGGGGCAGGAAAGGGAGGAAGGCAAGGAGGAGGAGGAGGAGGGCCAGGAGAAGAAGGAGAAGAAGTGAAGGGGGGTCAGGTGGTAGGGAGGGCGTGGGCTCCTGGGAACTCCGCCTTTGGGTTCGTCACGTGGGCGGTAAACAGACCCAGGATCCCGCGCGCTTTCGCAGACGTCTGTGAGCACCTGGTTCTGCTATTCTGTAGGCACCTGAGCTCCTGAAATTCGTGGCGTTGTCCTGAACAGCGTCGCGAAGCACTCCCAGAGGCGGCAGTTCCTAAGCCTTCTCGGCCGACGTGCCCGTGGCCAGAGGGTGATAAGCTGCCGCAGAGTCCGTGGGGCATCCTGTGCAGCAGCGCAGAGTTTCTGGCTCTTTGCGTCTGCGGCGGTGCCCCGAAGAGTTGCGGCAAGCTGCCGCCTCGAGCCTTTCTTCTTCGCATCTTCTGCTGCAGCAGCGCACGGGTCGGGATCCCTCAGCAGCTGCAGGGCGTTGCCCGCTCAGGCCGTTCAAAAGCCTTTTGTGCCATCCTTCTCGTGGCCAGTGGGTGACAAGCTGCCGCAGAGCTTGCGGTGCGCCTGGTGCTGTGGGGGCGCAGCGACTCGGGCTCTCGGCGTCGCCAACGGCGCTCCGAACAGTTGCGCAGCCTTGCCTGGGCAAGCTGCTCTTGGGCCGTGGGACGCGCGCCGCCGCAGAGTCTGCGGGCATCCCCAGCGGCAGCGCGTAATGGGGTCTGGGCTCTTCGCCCGAGCGTGTGCTGCTGCCCCGGCAGTCTAATAGCCCTCTCGGTCTTCATTCGTGGCCTGAGGGTCACAAGCTGCCGCGTACCGGTTGGAGTGCGGAAGCAGAGCTGCGGCGGTCTGTCGCCGTTGCTTTTGTGATCGTCCTCGACAGGCCTGCGCCGTGCCACCGACCCCCGAGCTGATAGATTCGCGAGGTTGACCTGGGAGGTTAAGGGGACGATGAGAGGGGAGGGGGAGGGGCAGGAAAGCGAGGAAGGCAAGGAGGAGGAGGAGGAGGAGGAGGAGGA